AAGGTTACATAAACTACCAAAACAGCTTTCCATTGCATCAAGAACGTCAATCAAAGGGCTAACAGGGAACTGAGACCTGAACAATGAATTTCACCCATTCAGAGTTCCTGGAGAGCTCAAGCTTTGCAGCTCAGCAACCTGGTTTTACAAGTTATGGCAGAGATGATCGAGATAAATAGGAAGTGCTTTGAGCATTAACAAACAACAATTCCATAAGCAAAGAGACTTGAACGTTTCGTTACTGAGGTTGGCTGAGGGTCCAGAAAAGGGGCAGAACGGGGGAGAAATCCAGCAGGTTCTGACAGGTTATGGAGAACCGGTAGCAGAAAATTTGAGTAGTTCGAACCAGTAAATACTACCTCTGGCTGGTCCCAGAGAGGGGTGGGAATGGAGATTTTGCAGTATCCTTCCCCTGGAGTGGAGTGGGAATGGAGATTTTGCAATATCCTTCCCCTGGAGTGGAGTGGGAATGGAGATTTTGTGGTATCCTTCCCCTAGAGTGGGAATGGGGATTTTGCAGTATCCTTCCCCTGGAGTGGGAATGGGGATTTTGCAGTATCCTTCCCCTGGACTGGGGTGGGAATGGGGATTTTGCGGTATCCTTCCCCTGGGGAGGGAATGGAGATTTTGCAATATCCTTCCCCCAAGAGTGGGTTGGGAGTGGAGATTTTGCAATATCCTTCCCGCAGGAGTGAGGAGGGAATGAGGATTTTACAGTATCCTTCCCCTGGAGTGGGGTGGGAATGGGGATTTTGCAGCATCCTTCCGCTGCCACGCCCACCAAACCAAGCCATGCCCACCAAGCCACACCCACAGAACCGGTAGTAAAAAAAGTTGAATTTCACCACTGATGCAATGTACACGTATTTTATGACGGTTGCAGTTTCCCAGGTTCGTGTGATCGCTTTTTGCAATCTTCCAACAAGCAAAATCCACGGGGAAGCCAGGTTCACCTCATCATCGTGTTTCTCACTTAACAGCTGCAGGGATTCACTTAACAACATGTGGCAAGAAAGGTCGTAATATGGGGCAGACTTAATGATGAACTGTCCCGCTCAGCAACATAAATTTTGGGCTCAATTGTGGTCGTAACTCAAAGACTACCTGTACATACACAGCCTGTTTTTTGCACACTCTTGAGTGTCGTTCTGAATTGGGTGGGTTCTAAATTTGTTTACTACCGGTTCTGTGGGCGTGGCTTATTTTGTGGGCGTGGCTTGGTGGGGATAATGTGACTGAGTGGGCGTGGCCAACTTTTTTTTCTCTCTCTCTTAAAAGCATTTTTTCTACAACCTTAAGAGGTTGCAGAAAACAATGCTTTGAAAAGTCTGATGATCCCAGCTGAGCTGCGATCATCAGAGGCTTTTTAAAAAACTTTTAAAAGCATTTTTTCGGTCGAAGAGGTTGTAGAAAAAATGCTTTTAAAAGTTTTTTTTTAAAAAAGCCTCTGATGAGGTGGGCGATATAAGCGAACGGCGACTGGGCCGGGGACCGGTTCGGGGGCGTGGCCAGCCAATGTTATTACCGGTTCTCTGAACTACTACAAATTTTTATTACCGGTTCTTGTGAACCGGTGCGAACCGGGAGCAACTCACCACTGCCCCTTTGTGTGACTCAAGTCTTGCATTACCTTCCATATGGCAGAAACACCTTTGCCTTCTTTACTTGGTGCACGTGGGTGTAGCTGTTTTCTTTGTCGGTGTCCGAAATCCAGGACGACTTTTCCAAACTCCATTGCTCTAAATCTGCCTGCCGGGCCTCCCAAAACGAGTGTTTTGTAATCTGGCGGAATGAACTATGTGAGAGTGTGAATTTGTGCAACTCCCCAGTTAATGATTTCAACGTTTTGGCTCGGTGCCTGGGTTCCTGGAACTCGGCCTCGCTCCCCCACTCTGGCCGTGTCCCTGGAAAATGCAAAAGACTTCCTTGCAGCCCGTGGGTTGGTCTTAACCTGTGCGTGAAGCTCTGCAAACATGGAACATGCTGGACAGGTTGCAAAGCCAGGGGCTCCGTGAGGGCCAAATGCTGCTAGAAACCCCAAGCAGAAGCTGTTTTTGTAGCAGCCTTTTCTATCCGGACACACAAGTTATGAGATCATACCTCTCAGAATAACCGGCCACCCTACATTGCTTGGAGATAGTATCCCTCACATCTGGAGGGGCATTGGGGGCTGAAAACAACTACGGGGTGCTTCCTCTGCAACAGCCTTAGGCCTTTCTGGCTTTTTTCCAGAGTGCTCCACAAATGGTTTGTAAATTTTATATGCTTGCAGAGTCGGCTGGTGAGATTCCGTGCTGCAGGCTGGCTGGGGTATCTGTGTATTTGAAGTTAGAAAACCTGCACCTTGCCCTGAGCAGCTTTTGAAGTCGGGGGGGGGGGGCTCCCTCTTAACCCCAAAAGTGAATGCCTGGAGGCAGGAAAGCCCGTTTCCGATTCCTCAAGTGTGTTTGTGTAGTTCAGTCAATCAGAATAGGGCAGGAAGGGACCTTGGAGGTCTTCTAGTCCAGCCCCCTGCTCAAGTCTGCACTACTATTAATCTTTTCACAATTCCCATCACCCATCTCCTCCCACTTATGACTGTATGACTGTAACTTTGTTGCTTGTATCCTTACGATTTATATTGATATTGTTTCCTGATTGCTTATTTGTACCCTATGACTATCATTAAGTGTTGTACCTTATGATTCTTGATGAACGTATCTTGTCTTTTTATGTACACTGAGAGCGTATGCACCAAAGACAAATTCCTTGTGTGTCCAATCACACTTGGCCAATAAAGAATTCTATTCTATTCTATTCTATTCTATTCTATTCTATTCTATTCTGTTCTGTTCTGTTCTGTTCTGTTCTGTTCTGTTCTGTTCTGTTCTGTTTTTATTGTTTCCTAGTATGATTTGATTGCTTATTTGTACCCTGTGACTATCATTTATGTGTTGTACCTTATGATTCTTGACGAATGTATCTTTTCTTTTTATGTACACTGAGAGTGTATGCACCAAAGACAAATTCCTTGTGTGTCCAATCACACTTGGCCAATAAAGAATTCTATTCTATTCTATTCTATTCTATTCTATTCTATTCTATTCTATTCTATTCTATTCTATTCTATTCTATTCTATTCTATTCTATTCTATTCTATTCTATTTTTATTGTTTCCTAGTATGATTTGATTGCTTAGTTGTACCCTATGACTATCATCAAGTGTTGTACCTTATGATTCTTGATGAATGGATCTTTTCATGTACACTGAGAGCATACGCACCAAAGAAAAATTCCTTGTGTGTCCAATCACACTTGGCCAATAAAAAATTCAAGAAGCGTCTTGGATAAGAAGCGAAACGACTTCAAAGCAAAACCAGAAAGTCCAGTTGCTTCTTGAAAAAGCATCTTTGGCAGAACCCTCAGCCGGATGACGGAGAATCTCCACGGACATACAGAGACCCGATCCCATTTCAGACAAGTGGCTGTCCAACCTCTTCTTAAAAAAACCTCCAATAATGGAGCACCCACAACTTCTGGTGGCAGCACGTTCCACTGGTTAATTGTTGTCTCTGTTAGTTGCTTGAGGACGCAAGTCACGCAACTCGGCGACCAATCTTTGCCTTTAAATAAAACGTAACCGATGGAGAAGATACTCTCCCCTTAACCCTATGTTACTCTTGCCTCAAACTCTTCTTCCTCTTTCTTGGGTTACCTCTGGGCTGCTGCTCTTTTGGGATGTGAATTTCGGGGTTTTGGGGGCAGCTGATCCGACTTTCATAGGGAACTGCCCGGGAGGAGACCCCGGAGCGAGAAAGGCTCCGTCACCCGAGTCCAGGGGGTCTCTAACCTTGTCAACTTTAAGACTTGTGGACTTCAACTCCCAGAGTTCCTCAGCCAGCTTCCACAACCTTAACTATTTAGGACAGGGGTCTCCAACCTTATCGACTTTAAGACTTGTGGACTTCAACTCCCAGAATTCCTCAGCCAGCTTTGCTTTAGTGAAGCTGGCTGAGGAATTCTGGGAGTTGAAGTCCACAAGTCTTAAAGTTGATAAGGTTGGAGACCCCTGCCCTAGTCAATACCTGACTAGGTGGCTCAGTGGCTAAGACGCTGAGCTTGTCGATCAGAAAGGTCGGCGGTTCGAATCCCTGGTCCAGGTCTCCTGCGTGAGCAGGGGGTTGGACTAGATGACCTCCAAAGTCCCTTCCAACTGTTACTATTACTGAGCTGCCCCTTCCCTCTTGCGGGAGGACCTCGCCTAACGCAAAGGCTCCCAGGAGGTCGTGTGAAACCTCCGCAAGAAACGGCGGTGTCGGAATCCGCGGCGCCAGCCCAGCTCCGCAGCTCGCCCTCCCCGCCTCCCTGAGTTTAAGGTTATTCTTTTTTTTTTTTTTTTCCTTCCCCTTTTCTCTCCTCCTCCCGCCGCGCTGCTCCTCGGAGTTGCTCCCCCTGCAGCTGGCAGCGGGAAGACCGAAGCCGCAGGCTCACACCGGCGCTTTCCGTCCGGAACAGCCGAGGCTCTCTCCGCGCCTAACAAGCCCCGGCGCCCTCGCAGTTGGCGGGGGCGGGCTCCCCGCGCGCCACCCGGGGTCTCTGGAGCACGTCGGGAGGACCCACAAACGGTGCCCGCAGCTTCCTTCTTTCCTTCCTTCCTTCCTCCCTCCTCCTCCTCTTTCTTTCTTCCTCTCTCTCTCTCTCTTTCTTCTTCTTCTTCTTCTTATTATTATTTTTAAATTTCTATTATCGAATTATATATATTTATATTTAATTTCTTCCTTTCCTCCTTTCCCTTCCTCCTTCCTTCCTCCTCTTCCTTCCTCTTTCTTTCTTTCTTTTCTTCCTTTCCTTCCTTCCTTCCCTCCTTCCTTCCTTCCTTCCTTCTTCTTCCTTCCTTCCTTCCTTCCTTCCTTCCTTCCTTCTTCCTCCTTCCTTCCTTCCTCTTTCTTCCTTCTTTCCTTTTTTTTTTCTTTCTTCCCTCCCCTCCTTCCTTCCTTCCTTCCTCCTTCCTCCCCTTTCCCCCTCCCTTCTTTTCTTCCTCCCTCCCTCCCTTCTTTCTTCCTCCCTTTCTTTCTTCCTCCCTCCCTCCTTTCCTCCTTCCTTCCTTCCTCCCTCCCTTCTTCCTCCCTCCCTTCCTTCCTTCCTTCCCTCCCTCCTCCCTTCCTTTCTTCCTCCCTCCCTTCTTCCCTTCTTTCTTCCTCCCTCCCTCCTTCCTTCCTTCCTCCCTTCTTTCCTTCCTTCCTCCCTTCTTTCCTTCCTTCCTTCCTCCCTTTCTTTCTTCCTCCCTCCCTCCCTCCCTCCCTGGAGCTGCCTTCGCTGGGAGGTGGCAATTGCTCCGGAGCTCCTTTGCACCGGGCTTGTGGGGAGCTGGGGGGGGAACCACGGGAACCACCTGTTGGGAAGTGGGAAAGGTGCGTCGGCCGAGTCAGGTGCCTCCTGACCTGGGTCAGCAGCGTCCTTCTTGCCAAGCAGCCTTCCTGCGTCCGGGAGCCGAGAAAAGGTAAGCCCTTACCCTGCCTTGAATGGAGTGGCCCCCGGGCGCTGGGAAAGGCACCAAAACCCGCCTTGCGTTGCGCAAGACCTGAGAAGGGAACGATCCTGTTGCCTGCAGCAAAAAAAAAAAAAAAAAGGGAAAGTCCTCCCCCCCCCTTTTTTTTTTTGCAAGGCCATTTGGAGGGAATTAAAAATCACCCACCTTCCTTCCTCCTTCCTTCCAGCCGCTAGAAACAGAAGTGCCAGAGTAAGTTGGGTTGAAAAGGGCTGGCTGGATAAGATCAGTTACAAAATTATGTTCTGCGAGGTATGAAAAGTCTAGTCCGAATCAATTTTTGCAAGCGGTGCTGTGTATTCTGTGCGTGGGGAGGGGAGGGGAGGGGGGGAGCATGTGTCGTTCTGCCGTTTTGCCTCCACGCTTCTGCTACTGTTGACTCGGTTGCAAAGTTTTGTTCGCTTGTATAAGCCTGGCACTGAGCTCTGTAAACAGCGAGCGGGCATTCGGCGCTCTCTTGCACGGCGAAGGCATCCACCAGGCAGGCATACCGATTCTTTAAATGCGGCCAAGGAAAGGGAGGGGTAGGGCTGGGCCCCGGGGCGAATATTGGAAAGACGCGGTCTGTACACTTGACAGCTGGAAAAAGGACATTTCTGTGACAGGAGGGATTTATTTATTTATTTATTTATTTATTTATTTATTTATTTAGTTACTTACTTACTTACTTACTTACTTACTTACTTACTTACTTACTAACTAACTTATTTTATTTTATTTTATTTTATTTATTTTATTTTATTTTATTTTTTGGTTCGATTTATATGCCGCCCTTCTCCGAAGACTCAGGGCGGCTTACAATGCGTTAAGCAATAGCCTTCATACTTTTGTATATATTTATACAAAGTCAGCTTATTGCCCCCACAATCTGGGTCCTCATTTCACCTACCTTAGAAAGGATGGAAGGCTGAGTCAACCTTGAGCCTGGTGAGATTCGATCTTACTTTAATTGCAGACAGCTGATGTTAATAACAATGTTTTAGTCTGCTGCGCTACCAGAGCTCATTTATTTATTTATTTATTTATTTATTTATTTATTTATTTATTTATTTATTTATTTATTGGTTCGATTTATATGCCACCCTTCTCCAGAGACTCAGGGCGGCTTACAATGCGTTAAGCAATAGCCTTCATACTTTTGTATATACCTGCTTAGTAGGGCTTTCGCCCCCCCTCCTAAGCAGTGTTCTTTTTTAATACAAAGTCAGCTTATTGCCCCCACAATTCGGGTCCTCATTTTACCTACCTCGAAAGGATGGAAGGCTGAGTCAACCTTGAGCCTGGTGAGATTCGAACTTGCAGGAATTGCAGGCAGCTGGTGCTACTGAACAGCACTTTAGTCTGCTGCGCCACCAAGGCTCTTCAACTTCCTAAGAGGTGGGAGCGAATGAGGATGAATCTTAGGTTCAAACCCCTCAAATCAAGAGGGGTTGCCCTTGGAATAAATTGAAAACCACAATTGTAGTATGCCTTTTCCAATAACTTAGAGGGAAATGTTGGGTTTTAGCTGGAGTTGTTAAGACTCTACTGACCGGAACTAGATTTCTTGAGTCTGTAGAGGTTTTCCTATTCGCAAGGCAGCAGAAGGCATAAGGAGACAGCTGGTGAAATGCTGTGATTCAATCCTTCAACTATTTTGCAACCCTTGGATCCTCACTTAGGTGAAATTCAATTCAATTCATTCGTTCGCTCATGAAATTAATTCCTCTGCCTTGGACTGTACTCTTCAAACTCTTTGGTTTGGGTGACAAAAGTAGAGAGAAATCTTTATACTTGGCAGAAAATTGGGCTAGCTAATTAATACCCTAGAACAGTGTTTCTCAACCTTGGAAGCTTGAAGATGGGTGGACTTCAACTCCCAGAATCCCCCAGCCAGCGCTGGGAAAACCTTCTGTATTTAAATACTTATACAAAAGTAACTTACGCAAATTTTAATAGTTGTTGTTTATTTTTTAATATGAGTCAACTGCCAAAAAGGCAACGCAAATTTATGCTGTTGAAACATACTTAATAAACCACAGGAGTTATATCATTTTGCTCTGTATTGCTTGGACCCCCCCACTTAATTAATAACCAATTCTGGACAGTACATTGAAGAAGGAATTGGCTGAAGGAGAATCTGAGATGAACCGGGAAGATCTGGGCAGTGGTGGGATTCAGCCAGTTCGCACCACTTCGGGAGAACCAGCTGTTAACTTTCTGAGCAGTTTGGCAAACCGGTTGTTGGAAGAAATCATTAGGGCAGAGAACCGGTTGTTAAATTCCTTGAATCCCACCACTGGATCTGGGGAGAGAAAGCGAAGAAATGGAAATGTTTAGGCATGAGAAAGGATAGGATAGCGCTTGCCAAATAGCTGGAAGATAGTTTCAACTAAGAACAAAATCACAATGCCTTATATTATCCATTGTTTTAGAGTGCAGAACATGGAATTACAGATTCAGTTTACAGGAGGGCAGATTTCAGTTAAATGTGAGAAAAATATTCAATCAGGATAATTCAGCTATGGAATCGAGCCTTCAAGAAGATGGCTCCCTTTCCTTTCCTTTCCTTTCCTTCCTTTCCTTTCCTTTCCTTTCCTTTCCTTTCCTTTCCTTTCCTTTCCTTTCCCTTCCCTTTCCTTTCCTTTCCTTCCCTTTCCTTCCCTTTCCTCCTTCCCTTCCTTTCCCTTCCATTCTCAATAGTCTTCCTTTCCTTTCCTTCCCTTCCCTTCCCTTCTCTTCCTTTCCTCCTTCTTTCCTTTCCTTTCCTTTCCTTTCCTCTCCTCTCCTCTCCTCTCCTCTCCTCTCCTTTTTCCTTTTTCCTTTTCCCTTTTTCCTCTCCTTTTTCCTTTTTCCTCTTCTTCCTCCTCTCCTTCTTCCTTTCTTCCTTCCTCTCCCCTCCCCTCCACTGTATCCCAGACATGTCCCATAAGAATTGTAGATTATTACTTGATAATATATAGGGGAGATGTCTGCCATTAACGTTCTATTTTTCTCTGTTGTCTCATTATTAATTATTATACAAGCATGCAGTAGAGACATCAGTATATCTCAGCTCAAAGTGTTACCTAGTTGGAGGATTTTCTATTTGTTTTATTTCCCTAGATAAGTTGGACTTCACTTTTTACAATTTGTCAGTCCACATAGAAATGCAGTTTGATTTAACCGTGTGTGCTTAACATGGGTGAGATTTCTATTCCCCCTTGAAATAATACATCATGGCCATGTTTTCTGGGGGAATCTGGAGAACACCATACTGGGAAAATCCTTGCAAACTAGTCCAATGCTAAAATAGTGTGAATTCCCTGGGGCAAACGTCACCTCGACTTCTTTTTCCCAATGCTGATAAGTTGTTCTGCACCACCAACCTTTCAATCTATCAGTTCCAGCAGAATTCTGGTTCTTCAAGTGCTGAATTTCTAGATGGGGGGGTGGGGGAGTGTCTACACAGGTAGAGGTGACATTTCCTTATTCTCTACAATTTAAGCACTTCCTGTAGGTATCCTGGCACCTAGAATAGACCATTTGAAATACTTTACACCAGTGGTGAAATCCAATTTTTTTTTTATTACCGGTTCTGTGGGCGTGGCTTGATAGGCATGGTGTCGCTTGGTGGGCGTGGCAGGGGAAGGATACTGCAAAATCTCCATTCCCACTCTACTCCAGGGGAAGGATACTGTAAAATCCCCATTCCCTCCCCACTCCTGGGGGACGGATATTGGAAAATCTCCATTCCCACGCCACTCTGGGGCCAGCCAGAAGTGGTATTTGCCGGTTCTCCGAACTACTCAAAATTTCCGCTACCAGTTCTCTGAACTGCTCAAAATTTCCGCTACCGGTTCTCCAGAACCTGTCAGAAGCTGCTGGATTTCACCCTTGCTTTACACTTAAAAAAACAAAACAAAAAAACATTCTCTACACCAGTGTTTCATAATTTCAACAACTTCAAGATATGTGGACTTCAATTCCCAGAATTCCCCAGCCAGCACCCTGGCTGGGGAATTCTGGGAGTTGAAGTCCATGCATCTTGAATTTATTGAGTTGAGAAATATTGCTCTAGGCCAGTGATGGTTAACCTTTTCAGCACCGAATGCCGAAACTGGAGCGGGCATGCGCCAGAGCACTGGAACCCAGAAAAGAACAGCTGATCAGTGCACATGCATGTGGCGGCCAGCTACTCTTCTGGATTCCATCACGCACATGTGTGCCAGACAGCTGGTCCAGCACACATACGCACTGTTAGCTGCTCTCTTCCAGGTTCCAGCACGCGCATACTGGAAGAGGGCAGTTGGCCGGGGCTCATGCACGCCAGACGAGCATGCACGCAACCGAACCCAGGAGAGTAGCTGGCGATGGCACACATGCCCATTAGAGAGGGCTCTGGGTGCCACCTCTGGCACATGTGCCACAAGTTCGTCATCAGGGCTCTAGGCATTTGCATTGAGTCATTATTTTCTCCCTTCTTGCTACGTCTATTCAGTATTTGGAAATTATCAGCCTGTTTCAAGCTGGGTCCTTCCCCCTTCCTGAATTGTTGTTATTATTATTTTAAAACTATGTTCTCTTCTCCATTTTCTTTCCTAAAGGAGTTTTTTTTTTTCCTGCTTCTCCCTTCCCAGATTTTTCTGCAATTTGTCAGTGCAGCTTGTTTGCTGAAGAGGTCATGGGACTTGTCTAAAAGTGGAGCAATTTTCATGCTTTTTTTTTTTCAGAGTTTGGTTTTGATTAGATGTCACAAGTCCTGCTTTTCCTTCCAAACTCTTCTCTGTGGGTGGGAGTTGTGCTTTGCAGCTTGACTTTCGGGGCTGCTCTGAAGATAGAGGACCAGAAGCCTTGATCAGTCCATTAGAATAGAATAGAATAGAATAGAATAGAATAGAATAGAATAGAATAGAATAGAATAGAATAGAATAGAATAACAGAGTTGGAAGGGACCTTGGAGGTCTTCTAGTCCAACCCCCTGCTTAGGCAGG